GGAGAGTAGTACGGACGATAACAACAGACGTTACTCATGCGGCAAAGATCACCAAGTTATCTCCATTAACATCGCCTGATTTTCTTCACTTATTTCTCACACATGGCAGCCTTTAATTGGCCACTTTCTTCACAACGAAAAACCGTTTGTACAATCAGAGTGGTGGTGAACCGATGGTAACGTCACCAAATTATCACTCCGAAGGACATGTGTTCAAATACCCCACAACCAACACCGGACTTTCTCCATCCTGTGTGTTGTATGGCAGCCGTTTGATGGGCCGCTTTCCCCTTTCTGAAAATCGTACCTTTGTGTATTCAACAGAAGGGAGTAAAAACGAAAATGAAAAGAATCTAAATCGTGAAATAAAAAATAAAAAAATAAAACAAAACATTGTTTGCGTTGGAACGAGAAAGAGAATGATTGTTAATATCTATACCGCTACTATGACAATGATCATGACTACCCTTACATATACAACTGATTCCTATGCGGAAAATGAATATCGGGGCGTTGGTGAATCGTTTTATTAGTCCTGTTTAGGAATTGATGGCCAAACATGCAAGACGCATAAACACCAAGGGGGATACAAATGCATTCACTCCAAATAACTATCTCGAGGCAGATCCAAGGTAGTTGATCTTTTATCGACAGAAAAAAAACATCTGACATTCAATGCATCACATTGTGTGAGATAATTTACTTCCTTGCCTATATACTTACCCATTAACCCATCAACTAAACAAGTTATCCAGTTGATCTCATTTCAGGATTTAGTTTTCCTTCAGAACAAACAAACTTAAAGGTCCCGGGTAGGAGTATGACGCGGAAGAACAGTTTTCAGTTACAGTGTTTACTACTACTAACCACGCGCCGGTTTGTCTTTAGACTGTCCATTTGGATAAAAAGTAGAAGGAAGTTTGGAATGTTCAAAGAAGATCCAAAGGAAAGATAATGAGTAGACGCACGAGTGACACTGTTTGCAACACTCAGTCATATCACTGAACATTTCTAACCTCCGGGTTCCAAACTTTTCGAAATTCCCCATCCGCGCAAGAAAAAAAACAATAAACTCTAGTGTTAACTAGCCTATAAAGTCCTCCGCCAAACGGGTCCCACCGACAGACCGAAAAGCTCAGCAAAAAGAAAGTAGGCGATAGGCATGAGAACGAAATTGTTTTTATATGAGACACACAGCCAACATTCCAATCCGCCTTCTTCTTATCTCACAATACCCTCACTCAAACTCCGGTGGTTGAACAAGTCGGCTTCTCGCAAGGCCGCACATCGGTCAGAGGGATGCCCTTAAACGATGATGGGAAGGGAACGTGTGCAGTACTTGGAAGAAATATCATGAGAATTGACATGGAGTATCCATTATGCCAGTTGATAAAATAATTCAATCATTCCATCGTAGATCAGCTCCTCGGAGGTAGATTCCATAGCGTATAGCAATATCGAACACGTTTTAACAATACAGTGCTAATTCTGTGACTTTGTGGCAATTGTATGATGGTTAAAAAGTATCAGTTTATCGATTGAAACAGGCAGCAAAAGTTGACTACCGAACTGAGTCCCGAATATCGAATCGTACTTTTGAATTTGGCTGAGCAGGTCTTGGCTCATAAAATATGAGAGAAAACAGAGTAACAGAAATGTGGATGGAGAACGATAGTGACCTGTTTGTCTCCATGACCCTGCGAGCTATGCAGGGTGGCTCCTCAAAGTCGCAAATCCAATCATGTCTGAAATATCAAGCCAGACGAAGATCTGTCCCACGAGGCCAGCTGCTTGGTCACCTCATGACTTCCTTTGATTATCCACTCCCGCCACTGGAGAGGTCACTCCAGCAAAAAAACAGTGAAGGGCGGCTTATCGATAAAAAAACCCGCTAGATGGACCTAGGAGTGGGGTACATGGGGATTCCTCCTGACGTTAGGAGAAGTCTTCACATTTCACTCAACAGCTACCGCCCGCCCAAACAGGGCAGCTCTCAGCCAATAAAGTGCTGCCCCGTCCAAGTTCCGCTTTTCCCATTGGATGCATGAAGCTAAAGGCCGATTCCGAAAAGCGGACCATCAACCAACACACCAGCGAACAACAAACTTAACCGAAATTCAAAGGACTTGCGTGACAGGTCTCCAGAAGCCCCCACCCCAGTGCTTCGTTCACGCCTCCGTATTGGATCTACGCCCCACTGCCTTGTGTGTCAGACTTTTGAATCAAAGGCTCCGGTTGGGGTTCCCAAAGTAAAACCCATTCGTCGGTATGAGTTACCGCGAAGTAAGCCGTACTCCAAAGTCTTAGGTACCCCGTTGGTTGGAGTATGTGTTACGCATGTCACCAGATAGGTTGCCACGGCGAGAGATGTTTTCCAAGGCACGGAGCGATTGGAAAAAGGTCAAGGGTTTTCAAACGAAGACCTGGCATGAGGGTATGAAAAACCTAACCAGGAGACTCTATCACATAAGTCCCTTTAGGCTCCCTGGATGGGGACTCCGAGATCATAATCACCGAGGGTTAGAGACCCTGAGCGACATGGTTGGATGTCGCAAACAGTGGCGTTCATGCACCTACTCATTGTTCTCTTCACATCATTCTATATAAATTCGCTATCTTTCGCTTCAATTTGCTCTCAACATTCCAATCTTCATTCGGTTCTGTTATCCAAATGGGCGGCCAAATGACAGTAATTAAAACCGGCGCCCGAAAGTGTATGGTTAATGGTTGTAAAAATTAACTAACTAACTAACAATAATACACAAGATCACTTTTACGTCGACAAAACGTTGTCATTCCTAATTTTTGGTGAATATCATATAATTTTCTGATGTGCTCACCAGTATTTGGTAGGCATAGCAAATACCTCATCTCCCACAAACACACGATGCACTGGATTAGAACCACAATATTTGTGATGACCTGATTGGAATGCATGGAATCCTTCACCTTCATTGGCAATCCAAAATCGGTCAAGCGTGAGAAATGTATCGTTTTGTTCCCGATCGATTCTACTGGAAAAAGCCCAAATAAATATATGTGCTGATCAAATGACCCAGCTGATATGGGACCGGGTTGCGAAAGTCCCACATGAAATACCGATAATAGTGATAACAGAATACGTACAGAATTCGTACCTTGATGTGCACATGACTATAGGGTAGACCAGAGCATTAAAATGGCAGTGAGCAAGCACCGTCGAGTCCCAGTGTATTCATGGGATGCATTCTTAGGATTCCATTTATAGAATGCCAACAATACCTCGTAGATCTCCAATATCCCACCGAATGGAATGAATGATTATTGTGGTGTGTGCATTTAGATTGCTAAAGCCCAATTTGAATCGTTTCAGCTCTTGATCCATCGACAGATCTAGTGTAAGCCTAAATTGTGAGGATAGTCAGTCTTTTCCGTTCCGTTTTTCAACCAAAAATGTTCAATTGTTCATTCTTTTAACCGTACTTCCCAATCAAGAGATGTATCGAAATCTAGCATCATACAGAACATAGAAATTTCATTGACACACATGTCGAAACAGAGCGCCAAAACATTTAGAGGAACTACAGATGGATTTGCACTGGATTTCTAATATCTCTTAGGTGATTCTGCAGGGTCG